ACTAGAAAAAAAATAAATACCTGACAGGTGGTCAAATTACAAAGAACTNTGAGGATAGTTATACGTCAGCACTTTGGTCAGTGCGAACTGGAAGCAGAATTTGTATCAATCAGCCAAAGTTGGAATTCGAGCCTGACTATTCTCACTGGAAAGTGAGCTCAAACCATTACGACTTAAAAGATTTGACAAAAAAAGAGTATTTTCTCCAATCTAGTCTACTTAAAAAATATAATTTTTAAAAGTTTTATCATTATTTTTTGCCCGTCAGTTTGCTTTTGTCTGAAAGTGGTTGAAATTTATACTAGGGATAAATTTTCACATTTTCGCTTGCACCATTTAGAAAATTATTATAACTTTATATGCATCAGACACAAATTGAGTTTACGAGTTTGTCAGTAAGTGGTCAAATTTATTACTGGTAACTTTCATTCAGCGATAATATGATAAATTTTGTTTGATGAGTTCTGAAAACTACTGAACTTGCATTGTCATTCATCATAATAGAGTTCCTGAAAGAAAAAAAAATTAGTTATTTGGAATCTAGAAAATTACCTAAAATTATTACTTCCTGAAAAGTACTTCCTACCCAACAAATTCCTTGTGGCGAAAATAGCGCGATAAATACTGCTTGCAGTGATCAGGAAACGCTTGAAAGTTGTTTTTGTCATCAGGCACTGTTGAGCTTCAGATGGTATTCAAGCAATCTAGTTAGATGAAAAGTAACCAGAATTTTGCTTTAATGATAAATAAGATGGCCATAAACTCTGCTTGTGATGGCAAGAAAACGATTGAAGCATTCATTGTCATCAGGCTCGGTGCTCTAGTAGAGATTTGAGTGCTCTAGCCAGATGGAAAGTGCTCTAAAGCTTGAGTACAAGATTTCATCCTCACGGACGTGAAAGAGAGTTAATAATAATATATAATGTTGTAGCAATAATGCAAAAAGTCGCAGTAATAATACAAAAATGGGGAAGTTTAAATAATTCATGTTAATTGATTACATAAGATAATATTCCTTTGAAGCAGCTTAAAATTACTTTATGTTACATTAAAATTAAGAGGGTAGACAGGAATTACGCGTTAACAATAAAATCAAAAATGATACATAAAACATACAATGGCAAATTATGAAATAAATAATTAAAGAAATAACTTAGTTTTAGAGATATGTGCTACTTAAAAAGCGACTTCATATTTTAGGTATACATTAATATTATAATTATGGCCTTCTATAAGATTAAAATTTTCATTTATCAGCAAAAATCCTTTCCAAATAAAAAAGTTTATTCTTGCATCGATTAATGTTGTCATGTTTTTAAGGGAAGGAGGGGTAGTAAAAAGTGTGACATCACTTGATTTAGTTAAACTGAAACCACTTAAACCTTTAAAATAAAGCGAAAACATTGAAACATATTATTGTTATGCTTTCAAATGTTAATAAAACACATAGTTAAATTTTAGAAATAAAGTTTGAAATCAAATCTGGTAAATAATACCTTCTTTTTTGAGCTGCAAGAATATATTAATGTAAATAATATAGTGTGATCGAGGATATAATGAAATGTGAAGCGTATGACATCATTTATGGACAGCTTCTTTTGCAATAAACGTATATGTTAGTTCTTTTTTAAAAAATTTTTCTAAATGTTGAAAGTAAATTTGCATCAACTTTCTTTTCTTACTCTTTTTCAGTGTTTTTGAATGTGTAATGCTTTCATTAGAATAGTTAATAATTATCAAAATAAAGAACAGTTTCAGTGATTAGTATTTACTGTTAACGTAAATGCACTTTTGTGTATTATTACTTCATAATCGTGCGTCATTCTTTTTCAGGCGCGTATTTACAAAGATTCCAAACTGGATATTTCAACGAAAGCATGAATTGAGACCGTATTTATAAAAAAGCTGTTTGTTGTGAAATCTGTTTCTAGTCTAAGAAACAAAAATATATAAATCTTAGATAAATAAAGCACCGACTGTTTACTACGAATTTCTTTTATTATTTTGAAAGCAAATAACATATGTGGTTGAACTAGTTAGTCATGGTTAAACTAGTTAGTCAATGCTTAAAAAATTCTTAAATCATTTTCAAATAAATAAATTTTTAAACTATTCTGAGAAATGAGATGTGCAAAGCCTAAGTTGAGTAAATCGATCAGTTTCACCACGTCAAAAGTTTTTACTTAATTGTGTATGTGAAAAATTCAATAAAATGATTTAAAAGAATTATTTTTTAATTTGCTTATTATTTTCATTAGAACAGAAATTTAAAATTACATATAAATTATATTTCAGCGAATATATTACTTTGATATTTAAAGTTTGGTTAAAAATATAGAACTATCTGTTAAATCTGTTTAAATTGATGACACTGGGTAACGATTTTTTTTTCAGTGGCATGAGATTTATTTTAACGAATCTTGGATTTTTCATGTCGCTAATTTCAAATCTACCATTGGTTTCTCTCTCCAATCTACAATTTTTTATTAGCATTTTCGTTGAATATCGAAATATCGTTGTATGCCACTAGGGACGCTTTCCCTATTATAAACTATTTCTTCATGTGGTTCTAAACAGATCCTAATAAGGGAAACGTCCAGTCGCGTACGATGACATTTTCATACATGGGTTTTATGCGAAACTTTAATGCTATTAATGTGCTCTAATACGCTTAGAAGTTTGTCGCAACATTTACACAACCTCCTGTTGTATACAACTTTTTTAAACATGTACATTTTGTCAAAAATAGACTAGTCGTTACGCAAAGCAAAGTAGTCACATAAAGCAAAGTAGTCACCTTAAGCAAAGTAGTTATGTAAGTTAGTAGTTATGAAATATTTTCTCATAAAAAAATTTATCAGTTTTTGATAATCAGTTGGATTAGAAAAAACTTAATACATCTTGAAATATATTTTTAAAAATCAAGTTTTCAAAGGTTCTTAATAATTTTGAATTAAAAAACTTATATTTAAGTTATTAAGCTGTTATTATGATTATTTCGTTTCATATGTATATTGTAATATGACTTTATTTTGTAAATGTCTCTAAATTACAAATGACTACTTTTAAATTCTTACTTGCAATTACATCAATATGACAATACTGCAACTTTTAAAATGATGTTCAGAGACGTAATTCACCGAACGTTGGGTAAAATAAATTTCGCAAAATTTAAATGTTTAAAAACAGCATTATTTTTATTTATTTTTTACTCTAGCAGGCGTGAAAATTCATTCAGTTATTAATCTTATTTATTTGAAAATTCCGATACAAGTTATCATTAAATATTAAATAATTTTCTTCCTCTTCTTTTTTTTTTGGCCAAATTTTTCACCATTTTATTCCATTGAAAAACAACCTCTACATGTATCAGAAACTACATCAGTGATATAAAAGTTTTCAAGTTTTTTTAGTAAATCTGAAAAATAATAGAAAGTATCGAATTGGCTATTTTTAGAGGTTTCCAAATAAAGCTTTTATTAATAATTTTTATTTTGTTTCATGTAGTTTATTTTATTGATTATTTTAATTTTGGAACAAAACATGGAATAATGTATAAATAATAATTTATTATATAAATAATGAATTTACTCAAAAATACCAAGAATCTTTTGAGAAAAATTACACCGGTTCAAATTGGTCATAAAGCATCTTCATCCGCAACAACGTTTTCTGACATTTAAATATTGATTGCTTTAATATTTGTTAACACTTAGGGAATAGTTTATGTCTAAATCTTGTGATGAATATAAATTAAATATATCTCTTTTTGATTGAAACTAAGCAAGCGATTGTGCATGTTAAACAGAAATAAAATACTCGGAAACTGGAACCAATGGGATTATATTTCTTGCAATCGATGACCGATGAGGTCAGTGTTATCCCAGATCCACGATTTAAACTAAAAAAATTCATAATAGAGATTAGAACATGTATTTCTAAAACAATTTGCGATTTGTTTAACAGAAAACTACAAGAGAGCAACTATAAACCCATTTACCGATTCTTTACTAACCGATTATATGTGCTAACTGACACCTGGGACACTTGCTCCAGATGCAATTGCTAATCCTTGGATTTTTTCTAAATCCTTCTAAAGTTTGACGTGCTTATATGATCTTGAAATGATTTCAAAGTCGGGAAAACTGTTTCATTTGACCAACTTAAAAAATTGCGTTCTCTGTATTTTGTCTACCCTCAACTACCAATTTGGAATTAGGTAGATCAAGCTATACTACCATAGCAAGTCACAGTCAGTTTCTCCAATTTTTGTCGTCTTAGACCTTTCTCTTTATCATGATAAGTAATAATTATTTAGCATAACTGTGGGGTATTTTCAGTATTAGGTATTATTGCTGCGATGATACAGTGGTTAAGGACTGAGCTGTCATTGCGAAGGCGCTGGTTTCTGTCCCAGTGGTGGCTTGTAGTCCACCAAGCTGGTTTGTGATGTAAATGCGGCGGTGCGCAATGGTGACCGCATTTCCACCATCATGACGTTGGTCTCGAAAATGCAAAGCGTAATTTTCAGGATTTCATTGGCCGACAAATGACTGTTACGGGAGTGTTTTAATTTATTATTTTAATAACTTATAAGTTCACAAGAGCTTGGTGAAAAAGAATACCGAAATGGCAAAAATTGCTGTTTGCTGCCTTTTCTCTTTGATCAAGATTATACTGAATACTCGTACATTTATAAATTAAAGCATGTACTACCTAAAAATAATCTCTTTGAGAAAAACAACAACTTAGTTTCACACAAGAGTAAGGCTCGTTCTGACACTTTTTGAAGCAAGCTCTGTTTAATAAGATTCTGCTTTTTTTAGAAATTTTTTTTAAAAATTCTATAACTGTGTATGTCATTTAAAGAAAGCAACCTTTTTTCCTTATTTTTTATTAGTCAAGTTTAGTTTCCATCCTGCATTAATAAATAAAGCATTTCTGCATTTATGAAAAACTTGTAACAGAACTTTTTCTCACAAGAACTATTTTTTATTTAGGAATATCTCACCAAATATGGCTACTTACCTCCGTCCGATCCAAGTACAGGAAATTTACGTAAAGAAAATGAGCTGAGAGAAGCTATCCGTACAATGCAAGAATTTGGACATTTGACACCCACGGGTGTCGTTGATGATGCAACCATGAAGTTAATGCAGCGCAGGCGCTGTGGAATGCCAGATATCATACCTGGTGGTCACTATCGAGTAAAGCGTTACACTATTCAAGGACAAAAATGGCCTAACACTAATCTCAGTTGGAGGTGAGTACTTCATTTGTTTTTATAGTGTTTTCAAATTGGTACTGTTTGACTCATTCTGGCTTCATTGAAAAAATGTCAGCAAGCATCCCTTTATTCATTTGGTTAATTGATAACTTATTTATTTCCTCATTTTCTTAATTCACAAAGAAAAACTATTGCAAACAAAACCGTTGTGAACAGATTTATTAAATTTCTTTAAATAAATCCCGTGAAGATTTTTTTTTCATAACGTTTATCTTACTCTCATTGTTGAGAATTTAATTGTAGGTCACAATACTTGCCGCGAAACTTACGTGATAATTTATTACACTATGACGTTTGTCGAGAACAGGTCAGGATAAAAGACAATCCTGGATAAGGTTAGGCCTCCTGCTCGGGCTGTTCCGTCAATGATTATGTTAATTAAAATATCCTCTGTTTGTTGAACTATTTATTCGATACGTGGAAATTGTAGCATAAGTAACACTGATAAACATTTTTTTGCATCAAATTTTTTTTAACAGATTTTAGATATTTTCGTAACGCTGATTTCAAATCTGCTATCAGTTGCTCGTTCTCTCCAAGGTACAGTTCCTTTTCTAAACGACATTTATAGTCTATTTTTTGTTAAAATGTGTATGTTTAGAAACGTTATGTATAACAGGGGCGAATAAATGGTGAGATAAACTTCTAGGGGAGCTAGGGCATATCATCAAGATTAAATTTGCATGGAAACCCATACAAGGAACTGTCGTCATACGCCGCTAGGACCGCTTCCCTATTATGAACTCTTTCTTAGCGTGCTTCTGTATAGGTCATAACAGAAAAACGTTTCTAGCCTCGAAAGACGACATTTCTGGGCATGATTTTTTAAACAGTTTTAATGTTGATGATGTGCCCCAACTCCCCTAGAAGTTTGTCACAATATTTATGCAACCCCCTGTTATATATAACGTTTGTAAACTTGTAAATTTCGACAAAAAGTCTAAAAATTTCATTTTAAAAACTATCGATAGGTTTCGGGGTAAAAATAATTTTAGATCTAAAATTCTCATACCCTAATTAGGTAAGATCAAGTATTTGTATAAATAAATGTAGCAAAAAATGTGTTCCCCAGTGTAATGATTAAAATCAATCCATAAACAGCTTAAGCTTTTTCAGTCACTTATTTATTATATGGTCAATCACGGAATTTCTTGAAAACATTTCTTTACTACTCAAGAATTTTATGTATGGGGGAATGGCCGACTTCTTCATTTAGGGTAAATCGCTGTAGATTGGAAGCAGAAATTTTTCGAAATAACTGAGACATTTCATCAATAAGTCTGCCGGAACTGTTTCATCTTTTAGTTTTAAATTTTACTTTAATTTTATAAAATTGGTGCAGATCATCACATTATATTTTTTTGTTAAGTAAACCATCCTTTTAATGTGAGAAGCCTGATCAAAAAATATTTGCTGAAGCATATCATTATTATTAGTTTATTGTAGTTTTAACGAATGATTGTAAGAATGAGTAAATAAATGAGGTATGCGACATTCTAAAAAGAGATATTGATTTATTGCCTGAAATTTTTTTTTAATAGTATGCATATAAATGTGAAGAAAAACTTAAGCTTAAAACACTGACCGAATCGCAGTAAAAGCTTGATTAAAATGGTTTAGTGTCATAAGGAAGACATATGAATGCAGATAGACTTTAAAATCCATAAGTTTCTTCATGAAATACATTTTCTTAATCCACTCATTCCTTAATTATTGTATTGCTCTTTATTCTAACGTTTCAATTGTTCCTTGTTTAGTTCATTATTTTATAGGATATCATTCTCATTATCTTCCTGATATTCGGAAATTTTTTCAATTTCTTTTAGTTTACGTCCAATAAATAGTTCGTAAAATGAAAAAAACAAAGCAAAACTCAATCAGCATTCAAAACGGGAACACAAAACTATAAAGTTGTTAATTTTCCAGTTTACAATCAGCTGATTCTGTGTATAAAAACATTTCTTAGATATGAATAGCAGAGTTTATTATTGTTTGTTGTAAATCGTTTGTCACTAATTCTTCTGTAGATTTGGCATTAATTATCTCATTAAATTATGTTATTTTCATCGATTCCCTATTTCATAGTTTCTTACATGCAATAAGTGAACAGTGTTACCATTTTGATTTACAAATATTTTGACTATTATTGGAATTATAGATTTTTTTTCAATATTTTGTATTAATTTAGGTAAAAATAAGTGTAAAATCTTATATTTAGCATTTCATAATTTTCCTGGTTATGAAAAACAGCGGGAAACATCGGTGTCTTATTTTTCTATGTAGAAGGTATAATCTTCTAAGCAAGGTTCACTTCCAAACAACAATTTTTCAAATTTGCAGTTATATAGATCTAAGAGAGATAGTTATTCATCATTGAAATTTCTGTAATTTACAAAATCAATTGTTTTTACATTTTTAAATATGAATGGGAAAAAAATTTTTTTTCTTTTTTCAAATTACTTTTTTTCGGATTTTATATTTTAAACCAAATATAATTCCAATAAACTGATAGATTTTTTTAGCAACTATTAGATTGTTTTTTAATAATTAAAAAATAACAAAACAAATTTTTGCGTGTAATTAGAGCATTAGAAAAAAAAATATTTATAAGGGACACCCGTGTCCCAAAAAGTTAAAGACAGCCAAACTCCACGCGTTCTCTTCAAAACCAGTTCAAACTATCCTTAACTACAAAACCTTTCCTTGAAGTTAATAATAAGCTTCTTCTCAAGTTTAGAAATTTCCTATACGTTCCAATTACTCCACTAACTCCTTAATTTGTGTAAATTTATTTTACTTTAGGGCAATTAATTTTTGTTAAATGCAATTAAGTTTGTAAAATGCAAAAAATAAACTAAATCACTATCTAAAAGGTGACATATGTCTGTTCATCCAATATGTATTTTTCAACTGATAATCACTTTTTTTTCCTTGAACAAAACTGCTTATTAAATACGAATAGGACAATTTATCAATTATTGTTAAATATCGTTCTAGCGTGTTTATTCTTCTGTTGTTTAAGTATCAATTACAAGCAATACAAATATATGAACGTCATACTCATACTCCTAACAAACATCTCATTGATAACTTATTTAATAATTGGCTTATTTTTTTTATCTTGTTTATTTTTTACGCTACTTTCAACAAAAGGCATGTAAGATCAACAAGCTTGTATTGTCCTCAACAATATTACAGAAGGCCACTTCCCAAACAAATGATACTGTTATGCGATATGGAAATAACTTGTGGAAATCATGTCTTGGTCTACTCATTACTGTTTCATTATGCTTTATTAAATGCTGAGAAACGGATGCCGGATATGACGGAGATAAATTATATTTTAACTAATACTCGTGATGAAATATGAAATAAAGTTGTCAATCTGAAAACTTCAAGACTTAATTCACTTATAGACTTAATTTCTCTATTCATGAACTAAATTATAACTTTATCTGTAGTTGCTTTTTACTGTAGGATTTTTTTTTTACATATTTTTACGAATATATAAAATTAAGAATTACCAAAAAATTTTAAATACAAATGAGAATGCATGAAAATAAGAAAGATATCTTTGGTTTGTTAATCGGACCTTGTCTTACAACGAAAATATAAATTTGGTGAGATGATTCTTCACAGCGATAGAAACAAAACAAGAATAACCAATAACATCATTCTTCAACGTAATATAGCTGATCTATTATCCACTGTCTTGTTGAGCATGGTTGACAAAAAAATAACTCGCTTACGACAGACAAAAATAGAAAGAATCTCTTCCCGAGGCTCTGAGAGTATACGTACTATAGAGTACATATACGTACTAATACAATATGTAATTCAAGAGTACCAAATTGAGATCCCATCCGTGTGATAATGGACAGCTGAAGCTGGAAAGGCTCGTCTCATATATGATACTGTGGACTTTGGAGGGAAAATCTCTTTATTACTTATATGCGATCACGAGTCTGAGTAGGTTATTCTCAAATTTAATAGTAAAACTCTACAAATTTAAATTAAATCTTTTATGAAATATCTGATTGGTATATATTATATAATCGGTATATAATATCATAAAGATAATGGCGAAATCAAATTAGTATATGTATTTTTGAGAGATTTTTAAGACTAGATAGGAACTGGCAATGTTTGATCATAAAGAAAATATGGCTAGGATGTGTCAATATATTTAAGGCAATATAGTTGATGCATCAATTAATTGGAATAGTAGAATTTTATTTGAGGTAGTTTTGTAGTTTAATTAAATAACAGGACTCTGAATTATTATAACAGATATAAGAACGATTTAGGTTTTGCTTTCTGGGGTTAAAAACAGATTAACGTACTTATTTTTAATCTTTAATGAATTTATTTTATTTTGTTCGTATAATTGGCGTTGAACGGACTGTCCAAGTCAGATCTGTGGTGAACATTGTTGAACTCCTTACCCTTGTAATTTTGAACACAATCCAGAAGATGCAGAAATTTCTGGATAAAGCAGAATGGTATCAACTAGCCTTTGAGGAAACCTTAATGATTGAAAATAACCCGTTAACTATTTAGAGATGTTTCGCATTGGCGCTGTGATTTTTGATCAGAGAGATTCGAACAGCCGCCGTAGAGTTTTGAATTTCTTTATTTAATACTGTGTAAAAAATTCAGAATAAAATTACTGTATAAAGTACCGACATCTTGGGTGCATCATCCGTAAAATTTATTTTTATTGTAAAAATAGTATAACGCAACTATTACAGCAATACTTAATAAATTAGATTGAATCAATGGTTTTTACTGTAACTGTTACTATAAAAATTAAGGTATGTCAGATTTTTTGTTCCGCAACCTGTTCCAGTAAAAATCGATTTTAGAGTAAAAGTACCAGAACTCTGAGTGCCGATACTTTTTGCAATAATTTTACACGGAATTTTTTACAATGTATGACCTGAATAGATGATTTTTTTTAAAATTAAATATATAAA